ATGAATATATGTTAACAAGGTTAATAAAAAAGATATAATTTCTTTCAGGTTTCAAATTTTTGATAAAAAAACTTTTCGAATATGATACTATATGTAGTACGGATAGTACTTCGAATGCCTTTTGTCAAATTATTTTAGTTTAAATCATCCATTGAGTAAATATTTGTATTGATATTTTGAAGATTATATACATTTAAAAAAAATAACGAAAATTGAATGAAAATAAATACAATATAAATCATATTTCCTACCAAATTTCATAATATGTAAAATTAATATATTTTTGTTATATAATGATATAAAATAATAAAATTGATAATTTTTTAGATATTATGTAAAATAATTATATAAATTAATACGTTATTAGAATTAGTAAAATAATTTATTAATTTATATTTAATATAGGCTCAATATTTGAATAAATCACTTTCATGTTCTGTTAAAATATAAAAAATTAGAATATATAAAACTTCTATTCTTTAAAATATTTAAAGTTGAAAGGATCGATATTGGATAAAGAAAAAAATTATGTATATCAATTTTCAAAAAAAGATAAATAGATAAATAAATGAGAGATTAATACGGAGCATTAAAAAGAAAAATAACCTAACAAATGATTTTAAAACTAACTGCTAATTTTGTATTTTATTGTACCCTTTGATGTAAATTCACAATTAAAGTGAGTATAAATAAAAAGATTAATAAGGATTTCGAAGGTCAAGGCTAGTTTCATGATTGGTATAATGATGTTATGTTGTAATCATATCATCAGATGCTTGAACGAGGAATTTTTTTAAATATAATATTTGCTTTTATTAATATGTATACAGCTTTCACAGCAATTTAAGTTAGTGTTCTTATTCTTATTCTCTTTAATCAAGCATAATTTATTATTGTAGAGCTAAAAATTTTTGATAATATAATTATATTTATTAAGAAACATTTGATGTTTGGTTACTGAAATCTATAATTTATGATAATTCACATTATAATCTAGAATATGAATTTTACTAAACGTATTTTTCTAGTCTTAAATGTTATTAAATTTATATTTATATATAATGACAAATGTATATTGTATTGAAAATTGAAATTACATAAACTCTTATGAAATTAATATTGTATAAATAATAAGTAATATAAAATAAAAGAATATATAATAATAATTATTATTATTAAATAATACTCTAGAATAATTGAACTTCATTATTGTTGCAATTAGTTTAATTGTTCAATTCAAAATTTTTCTATTTGGCTTAATTTAAATTCTAATAACAAATCTTAAATTAATTTTTCAATGAATATCTAATTATCTTTAAATTTTTTAATATTTTAAATAATAATAAACACGATGATAAATAAAATAATAAATTAAAGAAAATTTTATTCTACAGTATATAATAAATATATATAAAAATGAAATATATTCATTAATGGTATTTGTATTATTAAATTTTTCCCGAAAATACTATAGGACTTCGTAGGACTTAGAATTTAGTCAATATCGATAAGTTATTTTCATTAACTTACTAATAGTTTACATCATTGGTATATGACATTAGACAAATTTATCCATTTGAACGTGGATCATAAGATTTTAAATGAAAAGAATAAAATATATAAAAATATTATTCATGATTATTTGAAATTTTTCATTTTCAGCCGTTTAGATACGCAAAAATTTCTCTAGTCATCCTTCAATAAATAATTACAGTCGTACATATCCGCATGCACGTACACATATATACATATATAACGCTTAGAAATCTGTGCATCCCATAACCTAGAATCTACTAGAAAAATCTGCCGATCGCTAATAACCGGTAAAAGTTCGTTCAGAAAATAACATGAGAGAGAAAAAGAGGCAAAGGTAAATTCGATATAAGTTAAAGACAATACTTATTTCATCTTTTTTGCGTACGTGGTAATATTTGCGCTAAATGAATGTAGTTTTGCGCATAGCCGTAAAATAATGAATATTAAATGTTTTAAATTACGACCAATAAAATCTTTGCTGTATTGATTTTATGATACTTACATTTTTGGCTTATATCAAATTTATTAAAATTATTTTGAAATAGATATCAATTATTTATAGCTATTATCACATTGCTTATTGATAAAATATTTTATATATAAAAAAAAAAAATTAATATTATTTATGATATGTCGTTGTTTGTAATTTCTTTGTTATAATTTGCAATGATGTGCAACTTCACTGTAACAAAATATTACTATTACTGTTCACTACATTACTAATATATTTCGAAGATTAGTTTAAATTTCCAACGATAACAATAATATTTTTACATATTTATAATAGATAATTTATCATATCAATAAATTTAACAACTTATATTAGAATAAAAAAATTAACATGAAATGTATTTAAATAATACATAATTGTTTAATTGCAGGTAACTTAGCTATTTTGTTATTATTATAAACAAAACATAATAAAAATTTATTTATTTTTCTCAAAATATGAAGGTTTGAGCTCCAATTTGTTAGAAAATTAATCTTCGGTAAATCAAACTTATCAGAGAAAATTTACACAATAAATAATTCCAATTCTAATTATTACACTTAATTGTAACACTATTGTAGTATCAATAATATTAAAACAAGTACATTTAAATGATTTAAGCATTAGAAATATTTGGATTTACATTATCCTGAAACTGATATCTCAAGAAAGTATTAATGTAATGAATTCATTAGATAACAATAACTATCAATACGTAAATATTGAATAATACATGTTAATAATGTAAAAACTAATTATTTTTTAATTTTTATTCTACTTTGAATTTTAAATTGTTTATAGTATTCTAATAGCTTATTATCATTTCAAAAGAAAATTTTATTATATTATTAATAATTATTTATAATGTAACGAATTATTTAAATACTAGTTACTTCATTGTTATAATAATGGTTATTTTTATGTAATAATTTTGTTAAAATAATTATATATATGAAAATATCAAAATCAACAGTTGTTAAACGAACTAATATATTCATATACTTATATATACCTATAAATTTAAGTATATATTATAATATATATTTGTATAATGTATAATATAACTTAATATTCTGCATTATAAGTAAATAATACTTTAAAGCTTAAGTAAAGCAGATTTTTCGTATTGAGCAATGTGTCAAGCTTTTTATAATAATTAAAAAGTGGGTAAAGGAAGAATGTTATTACATTATAACATCTTTTCCTTTATTCAAAAATTTCTAAATAATTAATTATATAGACGATAAAGTGTTTAAAGCTTCAAGTTAGAAAATATATAACAATCACAATACAAATGTTTTTGTCATATTCCTTGATGTATGATATCTTCTATATTACTTCAAAAGTAGGTCTCGAGTGGAAGAGCTAAGGACTGTGAGACTTGGAGCATAACTTTAGCAAATAATGATTTATTTGTTTCTTTGAATTCTATCTGTATTATCGATATTTTTACACTCTTTTTATTTGCAAAATTAGTTTAGAATTTTGTTTTATTGTCTTATATTGAGGCAGTTGATCATTTAATTTCAAAATTAAAAAAATTTGTTTTCACATAGATGAACCGATTTTTATAGTTCACTGCTATTTTAATATTTTTATAAATAATTACATTTACAATGTCTGATTTATACATAAAAAGTTAATTAATGAAAATATTTAAATAGATGACAAATATGTGTAAAAATAAATATCAAGAGATTATTTTACTTTTATAATAATAACAATTCTTTCTTTGTATACAAAGTATTGTACAAAATAAATATATCAAATGAATATTAAAAATAAAATTGAATGATAGTCTTATTTAGCTTAGGAATGAAATTGTATACTCTGGATTTACATTATAAATATGGAATAATGATAACATAGAGTTAACCTTCTATGTACGCATATGTAATAATTGAAATATCACTTTGTCTACAATAATTTAATTTTATTTCATTAAAATGCATAATATTGATAAAACATATATATTTCGAATGTATATTATTCCTGTATCCTACAACTTAAATAAGAAAATCAAATTTCAATGCATCTTATGATAATAGCAAATATTATTTAGACTAATGAGCTCATAAATCGTTTAAATTAACCTTTATATGGTTTTTCAATAATGCTAGATATCTTATTATATAAAAGTTTTTGTTTCAACATTATGTATACAATTACAAGTAGCACTTCAAATTCTTAATTTGGTCATCTAATAAAAGTAAAATGATAAAACATATTTTTTGTAAATGACAACGATATTTTTGTACTTAGAAACGTAGAGAATAATTGTAATTTTATATTTTCTAAAAAAATGAATATTAACGAATATATAAATTAACATAAATTATAAAATATAATGGTTTATATAAAATTATCTTATATATAAAATATTATATGGTATATATAAAATAAATTTAGTTTAAATATTTATGAGAAGGTATAGAAAAGAAAATAGTATTATGTATTAAAAAATCTAAATAATTTCTCGTATTATTTATACACTGACTTACGTTTATGTATATGCTTAATAGTTTAACCGCATATATTAGTATTATTATTACTCAGAAGAGTATGTGATTATATTTCATACTATATATTTCATCTAATGCTATTAGAATTTAATCGTCATTGCTGTATTCCTTTTCTCTTTCTTTTTTTCTTTCATATCTCTCTCTCTTTCTCTCTCTCTCTCTCTCTCTCTCTCTCTCTCTCTCCGACTCATTATTTTTTTTTTCATTCTTTCACTGACAGTGAAGAGAAAGACAGTAAAACTGTGTTTCTCAACAGACTGAAAAGCAAGGGAAGGGAATCAGATGAAGCGCACATGCACGTGGATAGCAGCATCTGCAGTGATGGTGGGGCACCGTATAGGAGAGAAGCGCGAGGAAAGAGAGTAGTTCGCCCCGATGCCGGGCAGAGAGAAGCGAAATACCCCTTTTACACGACTCACTTGGTATAAAAGCAAAGCAAGCCTCTTTTAGGTGCAACACATAACGCAGAACACGAGGCAGGAGAGTTTCACGCACAGCAGCGCAGTAGTATAATACTCCAGGCATAGGAGCACGTGGGTTTTCTAGTATATCCGAGAATCGTGCATAGATCAAACTACCGTTTATTTAGCGAGATTTTGGTAATAACAAACAGCATATTTTTAGCTGTTTAAGTGTCTGTCATCTTCTAGTTCCGGTATCTTTGACCATAACATCTGACCACGTGTATTTTTAGCACTGTGAATACGCGCATGAAGGAACTAGGAATTGACTTGGTCGTAGATTGTCCTTTATACATATAAATTTTTATTAGTGAAATTTTAATTGCTAAAAGTTATTTTTCCTTCGGATTTAGGTTCATTTTAAACAATGGCGATGAAAACTCTAATTCTATGCGCTGCGATGGTCGTCGTAACCTTTGCTCATCCAGCTAGTGACAAGACTGGAAGTGAGAACGATCTCATGGCATCAATTTACACCGATTGCCTCAAAAAGGAATCCATGAGCTGCATTAAATATAAAGTTTTCTCGTTCGTAGATAAGATTTTGGCGGATAAAGAGGATATCAGTTTAAGTGAAGGTATCACTGTCGTGAAGACATCTAATATTGAAGAAGGTGCCCCAAGGTTAGTTCCTAAAATTAGTTCGTAAAATTTCATCGAGTCAATAAATATAGGAAGAGATTGATAGAGTAATGAAATTATGTTGTCTTTTTTTTTTTGTTTTTTTTTTGTTTTTTTTGTTTTTTGAGTCTTTAATAGAAACGATATTTCACGTATATATTATATTATTGGTGTATTTTATAAATTAACAGATAATATTGCTACATGATTCGTATAATAATCATATACTCATATTATAAATAGATATTAAATTGGGATAAAGATAAACAATTATTTTATGCAACTATATACTTTCTTAACTAAATTATTTGATCTAAATAATAACCATACTTTTCTATAAATATCTAATATATGGAATTTATTATAAATTATTCTATTCACTTAAGAAAAATAAATACCTTGGAAGATTATGATACTCGTTATTATACACGTGCGCACGTGCAAACGCCCGCGTATATTAAACATTTATATATTTTATAAAATATATTGAGACTACAATAATATTTGTAGATTTAATATATACGAATAAGTGTTTTGCTTTGACAAGAAAATTTGTAAATTCGTAGACTTAAAGATCAAGTAAAAACATAATTTATTTTCCAAATTTATAAAATTATATAAATATACAAGTGTCCAGTCTGAATATTGTTATATTCAATAACTTAAAAAACATAATTTATTTTCCAAATTTATAAAATTATATAAATATACAAGTGTCCAGTCTGAATATTGTTATATTCAATAACTTAAAAAACATAATTTATTTTCCAAATTTATAAAATTATATAAATATACAAGTGTCCAGTCTGAATATTGTTATATTCAATAACTTAAAAAACATAATTTATTTTCCAAATTTATAAAATTATATAAATATACAAGTGTCCAGTCTGAATATTGTTATATTCAATAACTTAATAAAATGAAAACGATTGAAGATCTATGTTATTTACATGAAACAAGAATACAATTCATAATTATTTCCAGGTCAATTGAGTCAAATGATTTTGATGCACTATTATTTGATCGTTTGGGAAGATTCCTGCGAACTCATTCTATAAAAGTAGATCTTAAAGGCACTGACATACTTGGGGCTATTGAATCAACTAATCGAAGTCTCGAAGATATCAATGAGGGCTCTATCGAAGGACGAGGCAAAAAAAGTAAGTTAATTTCATTTTTTAAATAAGTTATCATAAATGTTATAATTATCTGTAGATTGAAAATTTGAATGTTTGTATATTTTAATAAAATTTTCAATACAAATTATAAAAATTAGTTTATTATAAAAAAATAATATTTAAACTATCATAAGCTGAAATCTTTATTACAATATTATAAATATAGATAATGAACATTGATAATTAAAAATTATAAAAAAAAAAAGATAAATTACTAGTTAAATATCAATTAAACATATATATATATATATATATATATATATATATATACATCGAATGTAATGTTTACTAGTCTAATTTTCATTTGTGATTGAATTCAAATAATATAAATATGCATATTCTAAATATTAATTAATTATAGAATTTATAATTAAAAAGATTAAATAATAATTTAATTATAATATATCTATCTTTAAACGTTATGTAAAACTATTTATTGGTATTTGTGATTTCGAAAATCAAGATTTTCATAATTGACATCCAATACTTATTTACAAATATATAAAGTCTTGTTAATTCAATGAAAATTTTTATTTATAAATGAATTTTATTGTGTGTATGTATAAAAGATTTTAAAAATTTATTATCGACCCTATTAGTTATGTTAACGAAGAAAATTCATCAGTGCAAATCCGCGTTAAGGATACCGCGTAATTGCCTAACTGGACATGTACACCCCCTTCTCCTATCTTTTTCAAATTCTATCATAGCACGGAATGAAAAGTGCACTATGCATGCGTCGTGGCATGTATTATTTATCATATACGCGTCTATCCATCACGCATCCGCAGATATACATATACCGTCTTTCAAGAAAGGTGCGGCTTCCTCATACTTCATTTCTTTTTCTCTCTCAGGTGTATGTACGACCTGTTTTACTCTCGCAATATTGGTATCTTTATGTCGGTATCTTTCTTCTCTTGTTAAGTTGAGAGAGTTCTCTTTGTTGCTGGAACTATGGGACGCAGCGATGACCCACTCTGAAACTGGTTTTCAGTTCCCTTGAACTACCTTCTCCTAGGAGTGTGTATATGTTTATATCCACGCAGTTACATGCGTTTTTATGTTGTGCCCATACGATTGCAATCATGTACACGTATATTCGCATGATTATTTGTAAGTATAGAGGAAGGGCAATGATTTTCTCGCTAAAGGAAAGTCTACAAAAAGAGAAATATATATTCATATATATATATATACACACCACCTTTTTCCCCATTACTTATTGTTTACTCCGTCTAAATTTATAAATGGGGAAAATTTATAAAGAAAATGTGTAAACAAAGATAAAAACAATTTAATATGTTACAAGAAAATTTACTTAGGCCGATACAGAGTAATAAAAGTCACTAGCTACTTTTATGTTAATAATACCTAATATAGAAATTAAACTTTTTATAAGCCCAATTGATGCTTCAAATGTTCTATTCTGTATTCAATGTTCCGCATGACAAAATTTTATAACGAAAATATTTAACTGTATTTTCAAATAAAAAGTAGAGTGTAACATTTTATTTTACTAGCACAAAATCAAAATTATCTTTTTTATTCTATTGTTTTCATTCTATTTTATCTTAGACTAATTTGTTATACATTTTTTCATACATTTTGATCGTGGAAAATGCAAATATTTAAAAATTTAATTAAAAATTATTTTTAACGATCGCGTGCACTGAATATTTAAAAAAATATTCGTCTAAATTTAATTTCACAAATTAAAAAAATAACTCTTAATTATATAAATATTGTGCGTCAAATTTTCGATTTACATAAATTGTCATAAATTATCATGTACAAGTTATATGTTTTAAATGTAATAGAAAATAAGATAGAGAAATTATCAAATTAAAAGAGTATTATCGTCGATCAAAAAAGAAAAAAAAAAAAAGAAAAACGATGTATCCCGTTGCCTATGATTTTTGACATACTTTCATTCAAGAAATCGGTGCGCCCACCTTGACCTTTCATTATTCTTTGCTTTCTTAGTCATCATGTCACTCCCGCCTCCTGAGAGAAAAATTCGCATCTAAATAATATGTACATACATATAGGATTATATGATCGATAAATCTCGAACAAAGACATGAAATTGACTAATCAATTTTTAATATATGATGGTTGCTAGGATACTGAAATTAAAAAAATTTATTATAAACATAATACAAAACACACAGTCATTAGATATTTTTCAAAATTATTCAATTTTTTTTAGAATTTCTCAGGAAATGATACACATCGATATTGCTATTTACTAATTCATAACTAAAATAATTAATAATAATTAATAATTACATAATATTTTTTAATAGAATATAACAAAGACATAAAAAATATAATTATAAATGAATATAAGTTATCTGATATGTTTTGGTATTATATTCTGTTATAAATTATAAATTAATTTGTTGAATTAATACGAATAACACAACAATTAATTAATGTAACTTTATTGTAAATTAAATTAGTTTGTTCAAATTATTTATTTAAATTGGTATAACTACGATTGAAAATTATTTTTGATACTAATAAATAAATAAATTCTGATTCATCTTTTATAATCAACTTATGAATATATTTTAAAAATAATACTTCTAGACTGATAATCAAATTATGAATACATAACATATTCTTATATGTGTAGTGAGCAAAGTGAGACAGTGAAGAGAATGAAGGGGGGAAAGAAAATGTATATACATGTATTGATAACACTAAGAGATAAAATTATAATTACAGTAAGCTAAATATAAAATAGAATTGATAACTAAAAGGGATATTAATCTTTTCAGAGAAGACACAGAAAATAATGGGGCCGATTTTAATGGCGATAGCGTTTAAGGCCGCAGCCCTTTTACCTATTGCCCTTGGCTTCATTGCTTTAATCGCAGGCAAAGCCCTGCTCGTCGGCAAAATTGCCCTCGTTATCTCGACGATAATCGGCCTGAAAAAGCTCCTTGGCGGCCAGCAGAAGCACGTGACATACGAAGTTGTGTCGCACCCACATCATAGCGGTGGTCACGTTGCCAGCCATGATGATGGTGGACACAGCGGTTACTCCGGCGGTGGAGGCGGTGGCAGCGACTTCAGCGGGTACAGTGGCGGTGGTGGAAGCTCCGGTGGACACGGAGGCTCAGGTTGGGCCAGAAGTCTTATGGAGGCAAACGCTCAGGAGTTAGCTTACAGTGCACAAAAACCACAGGCTCAAGCACTTGTGCAGCATTAAGAAACCTAATATTTTGTTCCTTTTGCTTCGCTCTCTTCACTATCCCTCTTCGTTAACAATCCCTGTAGCTCTCTCTTATTCTCTATTCATCCCGTCCATTTAAATTATTATTTATGAATCAAGCTTATTATCTAGTTACGTTAATAGTCAGACTCTATTTTACTAACACTTTTTCCTTTTTTTTTTCCTTTTCTTGTGTGTTCTTGATCCCTTTACTTTCGACTTTTTATTTCAAAATTAAGCAAATTAATTTTTATACTGATAGGAAGGTACTTGTCGATTAGCCAGTGTTTCATAGGAAACGGGCTTTATTGATTTTAAAATGAAACAAATTAGTTTCTTCTATACATTCGTGATAAAAGTTTATTAAGACTGTTCAATCGGAATATTTATTTAAAGTCACTTATTTTATTTTTCTGAGATATCTTATCTTTCTACAATCATCGATAGAAATTTTTCGTCAAATATTAATAATACAATATTATTTAATGTAATTATTTTATTTAATAATTTATACATAGAATTATTAAGATAAGCAACTTTGATAAATTCAAAGCAATAAAACATTATATTTCTATGCGAAAAATAATCAAATGCCAATTCATTGATTTGCAATTATTTGAAAATATACTAAATAATTAAATTATATTTTATTTTTCAAATATCAATAATATAAATAAATATTAATATATATATATATTTTTTTTTTTTTGAGCAATGATAATCTATTTTGAAATTGAAATACAAAATCAAAGAATTATTTTAATTTCCGTTTTAATACTTTTATTATTATTAATTTAAATATTATTAAAAATAAATTAAGGCTTTATTTTATTGTTATTAATAAGAATTTTTCATTCTTATAATAATTATTGGCATACACACGGATAAATTTATGCAATAATTTCAATTAAGAATATTTTTTTTATACGCAGTGAATGATTGTGATTGAAATATTGAAAAAGTAAATTATTCTTACTGACAATTGAAATTATTCAAACAAATAATTTAATTGTTTTGTGACATTGAATGTGATTTTTTTCATTTGCTGGGATTACTATTAATTTATTTCTTGTCGCCGAAAACATATGTTTTTTATTTCTAGTATCTCTTATCCATCTTATATACAAATAATCTTAATTTCTCTTCATTTCTTCAATTCATAAACTTTCCCTAGCTATTTTTTGATATTTTTTTATCGGTTGATCTTATTCTTTCACTTTCCCCCACATTTTTACCTATTTTCTACTTAATACTTTTTCTTCTTATCAGGGCACTTATTCGTACATTTCCTTTGTACTAGTTCTAAACTCTCTCCTCTCCTTACTTTCTTCATTTCGCTTATCGGATGTGTTCCTTTTACAATTGTATATTTTTATCTCGTCCGTCATATAACAAGTTCTTAATATTAATTTCTAGATCTCTCGTTCTATGCGTCATTGTTACTTTCACTATTAATATGTTAACTATTGTTACAATCGTATTGTTTATAGACTTCGATTATCATTATAAGTGATTAGCCAGTATAATGAAAAATAATTCCTGATGCAAATACTCTTTAAATTTTTATATACAATAACAACTTTGTTATGTTATTTGCAACCTCAGATTACAAAATCTGTATATCAGCTTGTATTCTTAAAGATGTTATTATAAAATTAATTAAATATACACGTATGTATATGTACATGCCTGTGCTTGCATATATGCATACGTACATGCCTATGCACATATGCACATAGAGGCGTATACACATTTATATATTTAAAGATATCAAGAAATCAATCGAATCTCTGCTCATATGTACTGATTTTTACAATTTTGTATTAAACTTATGTAAAAAATGTTGGCGACTTGACAAGATATATTTAACTATGTGTTCACGATATATAATTTTTCTATTATTATTTACATATTATATTTGTACAATAAAGAGAGGTGAACGGCGCGTGCGTCTTGTCCCAAAGAAAAAAATATCTAGTATGTACAGTTAGTTATGCCATCGCTTCTCTTTTATTCTCTTTCTTTTTACCATTATTATTTTGTAGACTTGGTTTATATTCAACTTCATATAAGAATAAATTGACTCTTATGGTAAGTATAAAGAATATTTTTATAAAACTATCTTTGTGATTAATGCAATAGGTTACAATATTTACACTAGTAAAATTAATTAAAAGTCTTTGGATGCATTGTAATATATTATAAAGTATCGATCACTTCATTTAATAATCAATTACTAATAATTTAATATTTCTATTTTAAAGTACAATTGTACATTATTCTGCTACTTATAGAAAAATAATTTCAGCCATTAATAAGCTATATGCATAAGAATATAGAGACAACGTGAAATTTTAATATAAAGAGTGTTTATGCGTGTCAGAACTCATGCCATTTCATGCACGTTAACATATATTTTATATAAGGTAGTATCAGAGAGACATACAACCATAGCCAGACATAGGCTCACACATATATTTGTGCATACATCGACCGTAATTTTAGTATCAGGAAATAATATATGTTCAAAATAATATATACCTTTTTAATGCTATGATGAATGAATGTATATATATATATATATATATATATATATATATATATATATGTATATATATGTACACGTGTTTAATACCTCATCGTGTGATGCCTCACTCACACACGCGCACACTCGCGCACGTTCACGCGCGCGCGCACACACACACACGCACAAACGCACACACACACATCGTATATGTAAGATATATATTCACCTATGCATATATATATATATATATATATATATATCAATTGACCATTAGGTTAGCTTAATTGACATCATTTTGAATGAAAATGGAGTTAAAGTAATAGGGATAAAGAAGGAAGTAAAAAGATACAAATCGTCAATAGCCATCTATAAAGAATTAAACGATAAACATATAGTTTAGGGAAAGCGATTCTTTTACTTTGTCAACCTGAAACAAATTGTCTTACGTTTCTTTTCATCTAAATCGTGTACGTATGAAATCAGGTTGATATCCATGTAGAGGCGTGAGCAAACGGAATCTATCTAGCATCCGGATCTTGTAGGTAAACTGGAGATGGAGACACGTGAACATCTGGCTGTAGCTTTCTTTCGCCTCTATATATTAATTACAAATTACAGCGAGATAAGGAGAAACAGTGAAAGAGTACAAGAAAAATAGAGTGTGTGTGAGTGCGCGCTTGCGTGAGTGCGTGCGCGCGAGGGAGAAACAGAAAGATAGATATTAAGGCCGATAATGAATTCCCGTAATAATCACCTTGGCACCGATCGTTCGTTTTACATACGAGCGCTTGTCGTGTTTATTCATAAACACCTGTCGTCTCAGTGTGCGTCGTGTGCGTTGATCTCGGGAGAAAGACGCGTTTCCGTGTTCCGGCGATCCAGTGATCCACATATGAGGTTCCGTTTGCTGGAAATGTGAAAGTGGCTACGGTGGACTGCTGTCGATCGATTTTCACGAATTTGTTTATCTCGTTGACTAAGATGCTGGAGTTTTGGTCCACTTTTTTCTTTTTATCTGATACCAGATATAGAGTTATTTAAGAATGAGTTTTGTGGTTGTTTGTAGCTCTTCTTGTTTAAAATTCCATAATATTTATGAGAAAAAAGGTAGATTAATCTACAGCAAATTTTATCTTTTTCTGACTGAATAACTTTTACATTTTTCAACATATATTATAACCATTCCATAAAGATTTATAGTGTATTTATGACATTGCGAAAGTTATGCTCGTTCTTTCGTTCGTAATTTTAAAATTATGGAAGATTATATTTCGAAATTTTGACTAAATGGAGTTAAATTATTTACTTTAATATGAAAAGTGCCAATGAAAATACGTAGATAACGAAAAAATATTTTTTCTTGATTATTGAAAAATATTGAATATTGTATGAAATTTGTTATATATATATATATATATATATATAATACTTTCAAAGAGATTGCAATTTTAGCGATTATATGTAAAATTTATTTTTTAAAAAATAGTAACGTAGTAAAGTAATGATATTTTCAGAAAAGCAGATAAAAATCATACAAAAAATATATTAAAAAATTGTCTATATGAATGGTATGAAAATGTTTATAGTTAATCATTCAATATTTTATCTGAAACTAATTGTTAAATACACTATAAAATAAAAAATACATTTATGCTTTCATATATGTGCAATACTATAAACAAACTATATTATAAAGAAAAACACTTAGTTTTTCCAACTTTATTTCTATTTTTTCATGCACAATTTACAAATTTATCAAGCATTTCACGTATGTTTTTTTTTATTGCAGAATTTTAATACTCATAATCGGCTAATAGTATATTTAAATTTAATTATACAATGAAACATTAATTATAGTATTGTCTGAAATTAATTTATATAAATTTTTTAGTAAAAATTCAAAGCGTTATTATTAATTCAAAGCAGCATACGGTATATTTAAAATATTATTATAGGGAAACAATTTTTAAAAATATATTATTCTCTACATATTTCTGAATTAAAGAACGCTTAATTATTATTATGTATATTTTAAACTATATATCATCGGCAGTTTGAAATTTCCATGTACATTACCTAAAATGAACTTAAGCACTCTCAAAGTGACAATTATCAAAATTAAAAAGAAAACTTGTAAGCCAATCATAAAGCAAAGACAAAATTCATAAATAAAATCTCGCCATCAGTCTTCCACGCATAATCGACAATAATTTTCTTTGGAAAGTCTGTGAATCAGAGGAGAAAAGGAAATGGTGACCTGAAAAATCTCATACGAAATCGAAGGTAAAGGCGCGTTAGCATGTATCAAGGAATCCGTATTATACGCTCGAGAAGTAGCGGACATCAACGAGGCGGCAGTTGGAAAAATGGATTCCTAATATATTTTTCCTGCCCTGCTTTAATTCAGCTATAAAAGTTTCACTTAATTTAATTCATTTGACGCACTAGTGCTTCAACTTAATTGTTGTTGAATAAGTGTTGTGGGACTACAATTAAAAAAATTGTTTTATTCGAATGCTTAATTAACGAACAAAAAAGAAATACATAAATATGAAATTATCAATTAGAGTATTATTTTTCTGTTGACATTTCGAAATTAAAAGATATATTTTTATTTATCGATTAATATTAAAAATAATAAATACAAAAATTATATAAAAAATAGATTATATTTACAAA